GCCATGCTAACTATGTAGGGGCAGTGGTAGCCATGCTAACTATGTAGGGGCAGTGGTAGCCATGCTAACTATGTAGGGACAGTGATAGCCATGCTAACTATGTAGGGGCAGTGGTAGCCATGCTAAATATGTAGGGGCAGTGATAGCCATGCTAACTATGTAGGGGCAGAGATAGCCATGCTAACTATGTAGGGGCAGTGATAGCCATGCTAACTGTGTAGGGGCAGTGGTAGCCATGCTAACTATGTAGGGACAGTGGTAGCCATGCTAACTATGTAGGGGCAGTGATAGCCATGCTAACTATGTAGGGGCAGTGGTAGCCATGCTAACTATGTAGGGGCAGTGGTAGCCATGCTAACTATGTAGGGACAGTGGTAGCCATGCTAACTATGTAGGGGCAGTGATAGCCATGCTAACTATGTAGGGGCAGTGGTAGCCATGCTAACTATGTAGGGGCAGTGGTAGCCATGCTAACTATGTAGGGACAGTGATAGCCATGCTAACTATGTAGGGGCAGTGGTAGCCATGCTAAATATGTTGGGGCAGTGATAGCCATGCTAACTATGTAGGGGCAGAGATAGCCATGCTAACTATGTAGGGGCAGTGATAGCCATGCTAACTGTGTAGGGGCAGTGATAGCCATGCCAGCAGGGATTGACTGCAGTTCTACTGTAAGGAGCCTTGGTCAAGGTCAATGGCCGCCCTACCTGACATGAAACAACTGTACCATGCATATTACTTTAGGTTAATAGAATATATAAATGAGGCTATGTATACTTCCATAAAAAAAAAAACCATCCCCTTCTTTTTCTTTTACAACTAGACTACTGCTTATAACCCCCTTTAAACCCCATGCAAACTATAGCCATGCTTTTAATGGTATCATTTATTCTATCTTATAAAATTGTTATTTTTACTTTTAGCTTATTTGGACTTAAAAATTTGATTTATCAGAATTGGAGAGATTTCTATCTTCTCCCCTTATAACAGATGACCTCTGGTTGTGCCTCCGTGTCTGATGGGACATTTCTGTGGTGGATGAGGAAATGAAACCAGTTGGGTTTTTGAATGTCCTCTTTCTGAAATATTGTGGAATATCCTCAGATGAACTTTTCTGGTTCATATCCTGCAGCTCTGTTATTTCTTAATCCTTTGCAAACTTCTAGTTTTCAGCATGAAAAATTATAAACGAGAATCAGTCTAAAGCTAACAGAGCTGCACAGAGGAGAAAAAAAGAGTAAAGACCTGTTTTTTGGAACCAAATACCTTTTATGTACCGAGAAACACACCAGTGTTAGTATCACGGTTTGGGCCTATTTGCTGGCAGCTAAACCCCAGGATTAATAAAGTTGGAGAAACAAACTTGACAAGAAGGCTGATTAGATTGTTGTGAAATGTTAAAGCTGATCCAGATGCTGCTGCCTGCGTCCTCACTAGAACTAAGAAAGTAGATCAGACAGCTGCAACCTATCCATTTGCTGGAAATATAATAAATAGATAAATAATAAAAAAATGTGTTTTTCTTTAGTTTAGGCCAGCAGAGTTAGGATAGTTAGGCTTTATGATGAGATGATTTTGTAACCCAGGCTTTCCCTCTTTTAACCTGCAACTGGTGGAAGACACCCTATGGACTCTGCGTTGTGTTTTCTTTTGGGTGAAGGTGGGATGTGTTCCGTGCAGAAGGGGAATCAGACACAGGGCTCGTAGTTGTGGGGAGACGCAGAGATGGCGTCTCTGCCATCAAACTAAACAGAACATAACAAAAAAAACAACTGAGACAGCCCTTAACATTCTTAACATCAACAATAAAATGTATATCTCGGAATTATCTTTTAGGATATGTATGTTTGTGTGTCGAGTGTTTTATGTGTGCCTTCGAGCTCTCTTTGCCTTTTCCCTCTGCCACAGTTTCCATCCTCTTTCTATCTTCCGCTGCTCTTCTGTCTTTGTGACCTGTTCTTCATACAATAGCTTTTTGGGAGGACGTCTGGTTCTGGGTGGGTTGTTCCTTGGAATATCACTGCTCTGCAGTGAATCTGGACTGCCATGAGGTGCATTTTCTACTGCATTATCCCCTTCCACTTGGCTGGCTTGTATGTCGTTTTGGTTAATTTCTCCAAAATGCAAAGAGGGTCCAGTTTCCTCCATGCTGACTGCATCTGTATTCTCCTGCAGGTCTGCCTCTACCCTTGTCTCATTCAGATCTAAATCAGATTCTTCCTCCTCGGCTGTAGGTTTGCCCTCCTCCTCTACTGGGATAAACATGCACTGGGTGAGGAGGTTTCTGTGAACCACTCTTTCTGGACCACCATTCTCTGGTTGTACTACGTACACTGGTATTTTAGGCTGTTTCTTCACCACAATATATGGACGTGGCTCCCACTTGTCTCCGAGCTTCTGTCGTCCTTCAAAATGACATATTTTGACCAGCACCCGGTCCCCTGGGCTGAACACTTGATCCTTTGCTTTTTGATCATAGTACTTCTTTTGATGTTCCTTTGCAATCCTAGAACTGTTGCTAGCCTATGCATAAGCCTCCAGCAGGCAGTCATGGAGTGTCTGCACATAGTCACTGTAACTTCCTTGGCTATTAGAGGTTGAGGTCCCAAACACCAGATCTACAGGAAGTCTGGGATGTCTCCCAAACATTAAGTAGTACGGAGTGTATCCAGTCGAGTCATGTCTCGTGCAGTTGTACGCATGAGTCATGGCATCCACATATTCATGCCACCTGGGCTTTAGGTGAGGTGGCAGAGTTCCCAGCATATTAATTAAGGTCCGGTTGAACCTTTCACTGGTCCCATTGCCCTGTGGGTGATATGGAGTGGTGTGGGACTTAGTGATGCCAGTGATCTTGCATAGTTCTTTTACAATTGCACTCTCAAAATTGCGTCCCTGATCTGTATGGAGCTTTGCTGGAAAACCGAACCGGCAGAAGAAATTCTTCCACAGAACCTTGGCTACAGTGCATGCTTTTTGGTCTTTGGTGGGGTAGGCCTGAGCATAACGAGAAAAGTGATCTGTTACGACAAGTACGTTTTCAATGCCCCCCTTTGACCTTTCCAGGCAGAGAAAGTCTACACACACAAGCTCCATGGGGGCATTGCTGTGGATGCTGACCAGAGGGGCTCCAATACTGCTTTCACACTGCTCACACCACGATTTCACTTCCAGAGACATATTTGGCCAGTAGAATCATTCTGTTATCAGCTGTAGAGTTCTTTCAAAGCCTAAATGACCTGAATCGTCATACAGAGCAGTTTTAGCCACCACCCGCAGCTTCTCTGGCAAGATGAGCTGCTCAATGCGTCCTCTTTGCCCATCTGTGATGCATCTGTATAGGATGCCATTTCTGACCACTAACCTCCTCCACTCTTTTATGAGAAGGCTCCCATGTCTTCCCAGGCCAATCCTCACACTTCGAGGTGGTTTTTGGTTATTGTTTTTGAAGTACAGAACCTGGCCAATAATGGAATCATCTTTCTGTTCTGCACGGATTTGTTGAATTGTCA